GTTAGTCGTACTTTATTTAGTTAGTTAGTTCTAATTAAATTAATAGTACTATATAGTATATATATATATATATAGTATATATATATAAAATTTAAATACAAATAAAATCGTGATCATTGAATCGGCTCAAATTCAATATGGACTGTTGGCCATTTACTATAGTTGTCAACTAGTGGGGTGACCTCGAACTCTCTCAGAAAGTATATAATAATAAAAGGGAAAAGTTTATATAAGGTTGCAACTTTAGAATGTAGAATCACAGATGCACCTAAAAAATCTAGCGGAAATGTTGTTTTAATGTTGAAAAAACCCTCTAATCAATCTTCTCGACATTGAAATGTATGAATATAGAAAAAAAAAAAAAAAGTTTTTGGGTCCCGGATATAGTGCATCTTGCAACACATTATCTAGACCGTTCATTTTCAAGATTTTCATATATTTATAGATCTACTTGATTGTAACCATTTTTAAAAATTTTAAATTTTCTAATTAGGTATGAAAATAGATTTTAAGATAATACTAAGAATTTTTTATAACAAATTACATATTATGATAAAATTTTAAGGTGCATCTTAATTGGATTGTTCAAGATTGCAACCTTATAGAAACCGCACCCATAATAAACTTATCTACTTTTGGTACAAAATATTACAATCTCTCCTGACCGTCCAATATAAACTTCAGAGGTTGAAGAGGTAATGCCCACAGTATTTCCAATCTTTGTGTACCAAAACTAATGGTCTCATTGTATGCAACTCCTTTGGTACTTTCATAGATCACCAAGAAAGGCATTGAGTTTATTGAAGTACTATCCTTGGAGCCCAAGGACCTGCGCTATATAGTATGAGCCTGAGGGCCGGCCCACGTAATAGTATAGGCTTGATAGCATATATTAATTCTCATTGGGATGAACAAACAACATTTCATGTTAGGATAAATCTTTTTTTAAAATGTAGGACTCAAAATTTCGTAAAACTCTGGGCTTTGTCCAGGTGCTCCAAATAAAATAAAATGAATCCCATGAAAAATATGGGGTAAAAAGGTGTCTACCACTCTTGGCTATCCAAAACCACCCCTTCATGCAACATTAGGATGAACAAACAACGTTTCAGGTTAGGAAAAATCGTTTTTTAAATGTAGGACTCAATATTTCCTAAAACTCTAGGCTTTGTCTAGAGCGACACGATTTTCATGCGGCCAGCCCGCATATTGTAGAAATGCGGGCTTGGCAATA